TAACTACCAATGGCAGGGGAGGGGGGGTTATTTTCCAGCCACCTTGGGAAGGGGAAGAGATGCTTACTGTTCCAGTGAGCCACTGACTTTTTTTTACTGGTGGTGGGAGGGCTTATTGTTCCAGCCAGACATTGTCAACCAATGCTGGAGGGGGGTTCATTCATATTGTTCCAGCAAGCCATTGACCACCAATGCAGGAGCAATTTTGTTTCCAGCCAGCCACTGACCATGAATGCTGGGAGGGCGCTTTCCAGCCAGCTACTGACATACAATGCTGGGAAGAGAGGGTGCCTATTGTTTCAGCCAGCCACTAACCACCAATGCTTGGGGGAGGGGTTATTTTTAGAGCCAGCTACTGACCACCAATGGTTGAACAGTGCTTGAAGTGAATCCATGCCAAGCAGAAAGGGGTTCTCCTCCAGTGATTTGAAGCTTGAGTAGAAGTTTGAAAGTCCCCTTAGTAATTTGTTTATTTAACAGATATTGGAATTGAAATTTTGCATGCTGAGTTGCAGTCTCTACTGCAGAGGGCCACAGTGGTGGAGTGGGTTAGGTTTTTGAGAAGCCTGGTGGTCATGAAGTCTCTAGTGCAGAGGGCCATGGTGGTAAAGTGGGCCAGGTTTTTGAGAAGCCTGGTGGTCTGCAATTTCCAGTGCAGAGGGCCATGGTGATGGAGTGGGCCATTTTTTTGAGAACCCTGGTGTTCTTGCAACCTCTAGGGCACAGGGCCACGGTGGTGGAGTGGGCCAGGTTTTTGAGAAGCCTGGTGGTCTTCAATCTCTAGCGCAGAGGGCCATGGTGGTGGAGTGTGCCAGGTTTTTGAGAAGCCTGGGGGTCTTGCGTTCTCTAGTGCAGAAGGCCATGATGGTGGAGTGGGTCAAGTATATGGTTTACAAGTTAAAAAAAATTAAGTTAGAATTAAATTCCAATAAAGGGCTCCGACCAAAACTTTTTCACATTCATGAGTCTGGTATTTTATAATTTTTTGTTGTTTATATTAAGCATTTTAGAGTGTGGTGATGTTTGGGCGTGTACAATCCCATAATGATCGCCCAGGTCTCTATGGCAAATTTTATTTGAAGACTAAAAAAATAAGAGCAGGTAAAAGTCCCAAAAAGCATTATTGGCTTCACAAATCTTTTTCAAGAAGATATGCACAGCCAATGCATTTCGGGGGGTGAGGAATCCCCCTTCATCAGGACACTGATGGACTCTAAACATACAGCCCTGCAGATAATCCTATTTCCCAGGCAGGAGTGGAAATCCTTGGTGTGAAAAGATCATTACCAGCAGTTCAGCATTTGTACAAGTAAAAAAAACTATTTTAATGGCCGTTCTCCTTTCACAAACTAGAAAGTGCTGGCCAAGTTGGGTCACAGAATGTTCCACACAGAGTTGGGTTCAGTGGTTGTCCCTCTCTCCGGCAATGGGGCTGCCTCTAATTCAATACTCTGATCCGTAAACATACTGTACCTCTGCTGTGTCAGTAAATGCGGCAGCCTGATCTGTGGAGGACAGAACCATTTCCCCTTCGTTCGACCTCCCCGGAATTCACACCCACCATGCCAGGAGGCCCTAGAGAATGTCTTGCCTCCCCCTGTCTCAGCCCAAGCTACCTTTATTCACTGTCACGAGACAGATAGAAGAAACCAGATCACTAGCGGGGGGGATGTAATGTGCCCTACAGCATGAAGGACACAAGTAGTCCTATCTGTAGCAGTATACACTGTACTATGATCTCAGGTAATACACACCGCTGAGCAACTTCTACTATCACTGATAACTAATTGTAAGCCCATTCACATTAAAAGAATCAAATCACATCTACACAAGGCTGGCCACACATGATACAATTTGATTGAACAATCTCTGTGCCGTCTCCTTTAAGCTGGGTATACATGGTTAGAATTTTGTATGTAAACGGTAATTTCTGAACGTCTGTTCAATGTTCTGATAGTCAATGCGGTCAAAATGATGACAGATTTTGGGTGTAAAAGTGATACAAATTGTAGGAACAGGATCTAAATATTTTCTCAAGTGAAACTCCATTCATTCCAAAATGGAATGTTAGCATCAAACGAAACTCGAACGTTCACCAATCACTTCAAAGACAAGATTGATGCAATGTGTTCTAAAATCTCCATTGTTTAGACATCTCCCAACCTGAACACACCTTGTCTACCACCACATTCAATACTTTCTTCATTTGACCATGTTACCACAGAAGTAGTTGCCACTCTTTTGTCTAACACCTAGCTCACCACCTGCCCCCTGGACCTCATCACCTCACAACCACTCCTGTCACCCACTAGCTCTATTCTGCAATCTCTCTCTTTCTAATGGCGTCATCCCCGACTCTTTAAAAAAAGCATTAGTGAGCCCCATACTAAAGAGGCACTCATTGGGGCCCACCAGTCTGAACAATTTGGGACTGATCTTCTTGCTCTCATTTACATCCAAACTTCTTGAACTCCTGGTCTACAACCACCTTAGCATAAACAACCTGCTTGACCCCTTTCAATCTGGCTTTTGCCCACAACCCCCCACAGAAACTGCCCTTCTAAAATTTACTAACGATATACTATCTGCTAAAGCCAACAGCCACTACTCTATACTCACACTTTTAGACCTTTCTGCTGCATTTAGCATAGTAAACCACCCACTTTTCCTTAAGAAAAACTCCAATCCTTTGGCCTCCAAGACTCTGCTCTCTCAGGGTTCCCTTCGTACCTATCTCAGCACACCTTCAGTGTCACCTACAACTCTACCTCCTCCTCTTCACATGGGGGACCTCCAAGCCTTTGTCCTTGGGCCCCTTCTATTCTCTTTCTATACCTCCTCCCTGGGTCAGCTGATAACCTCCCGTGGCTTCCAATACCATCTCTATGCAGATGACACCCAAATCTATCTCTCTACACTCCTCCACTCACCCCCTCTGTCTCCTCATGCATTATTAATGCACTCACTGACATATCATCTTGAATGTCACACCACTTCCTCAGAGCCAATTTGTCTTCAAGTGTTCCCTCCTCAGAGTTCTCCATCAAAATCAAAAGCACAACGATCAACTCTTCCCGTCAACCCAGGGTGCTAGGTGTAATCCTCAATTCTGACCTCACCTTTTAGCCCCACATCAAGTCACTATATAAATCTTGCCGATTCATGAAACCGCAAAGCTTCTAATTCACTCCCTTATAATATCTCACCTTGACTACTGTAACTCCTTCCTTGTTGGCCTACCGCTAAGTAGGCTATCCCCCCATCAGTCTATCATGAATGCTTCTGCCATACTCATCCACCTTACCGACCGATCAGTGTCTGCCACCCCCCTCTGCCAATCCCTTCACTTGCCCAAAGCATAAAATTCACAATACTAACAACCACATACAAATGCCATCTACAACTCTTCCCCAAACTACATCACCCACCTCATCTTAAAAAATCATCCAAGCCATACTCCACACTCCTCCTAAGACCTCCAGATCCCTCATCACCTTCTCCCATGCTTGCCTCCAGGACTCCTCCAGAGCCTCTTCCATATTCTGGAACTCCTTACCCCAATCTGTACAGTTATCTCCTACTCTGTCCACCTTTAGACACTCTTTTACTTTAATATCACTTTAATTATACTATAATTATTAAGAGAAAAAAACTCTGAATACCTTACACTACTGACATGTTACATTATTTTCAACCTCAAGAAACAAAAACACAAGTGAAAGGCAGGGGCATTGACCAAAGCAACCAGGCATTACACCTCCTCAGGGGGAGGACGGGTCCATGACGCTCTGCACTCACAGTATGTCCTCAGTCTTCTGGATGAAAGGACACCTGGTACAAGACGACTGAGGTCACCTATTGGCATTTAGGTAGTACTACAGGGGAGGTATTACAGGCTGGCCTTTTGGGGAATTGGGAGGTATTGCTTTGCCTCCAGTAAGCATTTAGCCAATGAAGCATCTGATAGGCACATGACAGTTCCATATCCATAAGCATCGATAAAGATGACACCTTTGAATACAACATAGCATTATCCCCCATCTCTGTGCTGACAGGTCCGCTTTTCATCATCTGCTCATCCATAGCGCACGATGACCTGCAGTACCTGATCACACCGTGCAATATCCCTGGCGTCCAGCAGGTGCCGCCTTACCCCGCTCAGCTCCCGTTATGTCCTCTCTTGTCGGCGGCCGCCTCTATGGTTCGGTGACGTAACAGCACAGCGTCAGACAGAGACAGCACAGCCTGGAAAAGATGGCGGATTCTGAAGAGAAGAAGTCGGTGTGCAGCTTCGTGTTCAAGAAGAGCGCCCGGAAATTTGCCGGCCGGAAACGCAGAGAAGAGGACAGGGGTGAGCGTGTCCTGCAGCCTAGAGGGCGGCGCGGGGTATTGTGGGCACTTAAAGGGGAACTCCACTTAAAGAAAAAGTATACGGATACCAGATTCATATTGAGAAGTAATGTAACATTGAGGGGGAGCTGACATTTTGTGTCAGCTTCCAACATTAGTCGGATATGTGAGGCTGACTAATGTTGCATGAGATACCTGGCCCCATCCATCGTATTTAGTAGATCTTCCAGACTTAGCCCCCAGATCAGGAAAGGCCAATGTCCTTATCTGCATAGTTCTGGGTTAGTGGCTTTCAGCATGACAGCCAGGCAAATAGCATTTACAGAATGAGAGCTCGTCAATGGCAGCCTCCTAGTAAATGTTCTCCGTACGTCCTGAGAGATGAGGTGTCTTTGTGTTAGAAGGGATCAGTGTCGCCCCTGATTGTGAACTGTGGTGGAGGAAGTCTGGTCAGTAGGTGATAAGTCACACGGACATGTTGTTGTCTCTGCAGAGAGCAGTGAAGATGATGAAGGAGCTTCCGTGGTCAGAAGGAAAAGGAGAGAGGTCGTCAACCCCATGGTGCAGAAGGTAAAGGTTTAAAGATTGATTGTATGAACAATGCACCAGAACTGTTGTAATGGAATGCTGCGTAACATCATCTTTCACTTGTGCAATAGATAAAAACTCCAACTCAATGACATTCAGTGGCATTGCAAATCAGAAATATTTGACATTCATAACAAATATATATATTTCACTTTTTTTTTTTTTCTTCTTCATCCTTTGTTAAATCTTGGTATTGCTGATCTCCTGTAACCTCTTTGCTACACCTTGCTTCAGGTCTGGGATCTGTCACAGACCCGGAATATGGTTTTATGACTTAAGCCTACCAAGGATGCTAGTTGGCAGAAGCTGCCTGTGTCCTGGCAACCAAGGATGCTAGTTGGCAGGAGATGCCTGTGTCCTGGCAACCAAGGATGGTAGTTGGCAGGAGACGCCTGTGTCCTGGCAACCAAGGGTGGTAGTTGGCAGGAGACGCCTGTGTCCTGGCAACCAAGGATGGTAGTTGGCAGGAGACGCCTGTGTCTTGGCAACCAAGGATGCTGGTTGGCAGGAGCTGCCTGTGTCTTGGCAACCAAGTATGCTGGTTGGCAGGAGCTGCCTGTGTCTTGGCAACCAAGTATGCTGGTTGGCAGGAGCTGCCTGTGTCTTGGCAACCAAGGATGCTGGTTGGCAGGAGCTGCCTGTGTCTTGGCAACCAAGGATGCT